ACAGTACCGCGGAGAAGCGGAGAGGGCAGAAGTGTCATTTTACATGGCCAGCGTGGCGGAGTAGTTAATTTCCGGGAATAAATTTATACTATTATAAAGTTCCCGGCGGAGAGCCTGTGCTAGGAGTCTAAGGGGGAGAGGGGGTCCATAGCCCTAGACTTGTCAAGTTAAGTCCGCGTGGCGAACTTTTGTCCTGCCGCAGTAGTAACAGTCTACATTAGGGGTCCTACGAAGGGCTATATATAACCATTATATAATTATTACCCTACTGTTACTGAGTCGGGGCAGTATCCAACTCTCATGCATAACTTAATCGTATACATTGAGATTACAAGAACTAATTATGGGCAGAAGCATGGGCACGGACCCAACAGGAACAACAATCACTACTGTAACATCGCCGGATGTGGCGGCAGGCGTGTGCTGGGAGATCTATCCAATCGGAACTGGGCGGGAGTTGCAGCCTTGGTGCCACATGTAGCGAAGCAATCCTTGCAGTAGCTGAGTGTGGGCTTCTAAGGGCAGTGGTGAGCATCTTGGCGGCAGCTCATACATTTGTGATCATGCCAGGAATTAGGCTGAGCCGCAGCCCTTTGCGGAGGCAATGGCGCAAAAACAATCCAAGGAAACCCTTTCTGGAGTCGCGCACTCCACGCGCGCGTACGGGACGAAGACGGCCTTTCGAAGTCTTTCTGGGAGGCGCAGCTTTGCTTGGAGGGAATATGGGCTGGACATCGCTCTGCTGTCAGATCAAAAGCTGCACTTGCTGTATTTATTGATCGATCTCAAAGCTCTGAACTGCACGTATGTGCACAGGTGAGAATGCATCTGATCCAACTAGTGCAGGGAGCCTAAGAAGGAAGGCAAAGTTTGCCTAGTCAGAGTTCTCATTTGGGCTGCGCAGAGGTGGGCAAAGCTCGCGGGCTCCGCGAGAACCCAGCGCCACCGATGCCGTGCGCCTCCGAGTAGCCAGAAAGGTGCTTCTTATGTCCTTGCGTTAAAAGCTGATCTTGTTGTAGGCAGAAAGAGGACAGCAAGAGCTTTGAGAAGGTTCCTTTGCTGACAGCATAAATGGAAACTAGGGCATGTATTGCTGCTGGTGCTTGTCTGTCGAAGGATCTTCCGCATGTGGAGACCTTCGACTGCTCGTGCGAGGATAGAGAGCTGGTCACCTCATGTCCTGTTCGTACTGTGTGCTCCCTGCTCACAGGAGGGGAACTTTTGGCAGCCAATATGGGAGGTCAGACAGTTGAAACTCATAAATTCACAGCAATTTTGATGTTCACCTGCGGCAAGGGTGGGCCTGGTGACCCAAGCCTACTTGCCAGCAGCCCAGCAGAGCCAGAAGAATAAGAGTGTCAGGAATTCGTCACAGGCTGACATGTAGAGAGTCTTGGGCTGCATCGTTCAAGTGCCAAAAGCCTGCAAGGCATCCGGGCTTGGGAAGGCAATGGAGCTTGCGGACTTGGAGGTGACGCTCGTATGCTGGGTGTCGCTTTTGTTTGCCTTTGCGCCTTGCGCCTTCAACCCTAGCGCTGCCTTGTATTGGGCCTACAAAAGTCGCAATGGCTTGTGTGGCTATCTGTCCGTAGCAAGCCGTAGGACGTAGGAGTATTTGGGGCGGGAGCTTTTCAGGCGCAGTGGCTGGATCATTGCGCTGAATTTCCTCCTTTTGAGTCAGAGGACAGTGATTCAGACTGACGAAGCAGTTTAGGGAAGCAGCCTGTCCTGAGCGGATGAACCCGCTTTGAGCCTACACAAGTGCACAAAACAAGCACTCCAGGAGTGGTCTGGCAAATTGACGCCTGAGAGGAGGATCAAGGCAAAGCTGAGATGTCGATCACGGTGACTGAAGCCGCAGTTTGCAAGTTGAAAGCAGACAGGACGATTCCTTTTGCATGCCTTCACCCCCGTATGGTCCTCGGCCACGGTTCCCGTTGCATGTTTCAGCTGGTTGCAAATTCTGGAAGGTCAATATCCCCATTCCGGATGGAGATTGACCTGGATATGGAAAGTTGCAGCCACAGCACTTGCCAGGGGCGCTTTGCAATTTAGGCCCTAGACAAACAAAAACAGATCGAATTGCAAGATTGAACCCCAAACTGTAGGTGGGACATGCAGTGAGTCAAATGCTGGAAGGACTTGCACCCCAGTCGCAACCTCGGAAAAGAATATGTAATTTGTGTGAGGCTGAATGGATACGGGCCTGATTACAGGAGATCAGCCAGTGTCTCAGTGGGTGTGTTTCAGCTTTAATCACATCCGTTCGCCATAATAGTAGAATTTTTGCGCGGCCTCGCGCTCCGTTCGCTGGTAGAGCGGCATGTTGTTGCATCCTTGCTGGCGTGGATACAAGGCTGTCAGCTAGGGGTCTGGGCCGCCGGGTTTCCAGGGTCAAATCCTGTGAAAATTCAACATCATGTTGCCATGTTGGTTCAGATGTTTGTAGCTTTTGTTTGTCCATTCGGACTTTGTATCACCCCTTTCCATCCATGACACTTTGAGTTCTCCAGGGTTCAAGGCTATCTTTACGGCACATACGAAACAGCCTGAAATTGAGAGCACGCTCGCCTCCAGTCTGCAGATGCTGGTCCCCAACTGATCCTGAAATCCCAAACTGTTCACACATTTTCCAGTACAGTCAGGAACTTACCCTATGGGTCCAAGGACCCAAATAATAGGGTCCCTTTAAAGGGGTCATAGGGGGATATATGGGGTATAGAAATCCCAAACTGTTCGCACGTTTTCCAGTACAGTCCGTCAGAGTCTTCCCTTGGAAGACGGCTACATCCCAACCCCGAATTCTCAGTCTCACCCGCAGTAAAAGCCTCAGCAATCAATGTCTCAGGGCATCTGTGGCCCTTTGTAGGTGCATAACGATTTTCGCCGAAACCGTTTCTCCCAGTTTTCCTTTACCTGTTTAGCTCGCTGCTTTTTGTTATTTTTTTCCCGGAGGGTCCACGTGGGCTTACATTGCGAAGACGGACAACGTAAGCACGCATAGCCACGCAGCCGCAGACGAGAATTTCAGAAGGGGCACATGTTGGGCTGGAGAGGACCAGCTGCTTTGCAGCGCAGGAGCTCGGACATTGAGACGTGAGATTTGCTATGATTCGTTTAAGCAGACAATACGCGGGACTGCGGGCAGATGTAACAAGCTGGTTTTGCTGGTCCATCCTGCAGCAGCCATGTGATGCAGAAACAGAATCAGTTCGAACCAGGGTCATTGTTTCGTGATTCGTCTCAGCCTTCTTCAACATTGTCTTCTTCACGAGGCTTATTATAGACATCCACAAAAGTCCGGGCATTCAGAGACAGATTCACTTTTGCGCTTCAACTTGTCAGCAGGCATGGGGCAAGGTGCTAGGACTTGGAAGTGCTGCGGACAAGGCACCTCTTTTCCTGGGGCAAGTTTTAAGCACATGATGGTTGAGGACAGCAGGCGCAAGAAGCTGCTATTGTGTCTTGAGATGCGACTACTAAGGTGTGAAGTCTTCCAGTGCCCAATCACAGAGCAATTCTGAATTCTGGATCTCGGATGAGCTGCCGCTAATGCAGGCCATGAGAATGCTCTCCGATCGCTTTGGTTTTTTGTGCAGGGAAGGTCTTGGAAAGTTTGCCATGTTCTCAGTATATGTCAGTTCCTAGCGCTTGCGCTACGACCAGCTCGTGACAATACAGGTGCTCAAGACCTCCCCTGAATTCATTGCCCCAATTAAGCTGAACGAACGACCGGCTTATGCAACTTCAACTCCGCAACTTGGGTTCTGCTGCGGGTCTGCACTTGGGCTGCCCTCAGTGCACAAGCTGAACAATCTAGTTGTGGCTCAGCTATTTGGCTCCAGGATTGGAACCTTGTCGATCAAACCAAACCCAGCTTCAGTACAAAAGCCTTGATAGAGTCTTGATAGTTGGAAGCAGCAGAAGATGGCTTGTCTCCCTCTTGCAATGTCAAAGTCTGGGGGTTACCTGGTGCAGGGTGCTGAGGAAAGCTTCCGGTTTGCCTCCAGAGATTTGTGGCATCCTGTCCCTGAGGTCTCCCCTGAGGTCTCTTCCGACAGTGGAAGAGGTTCCCAAGAACACCCGCTGTTCCATGGCAAGGCTTGCTTGACACCAGATTGACAGGACCGCCGGCCAGACCAGATCACTCTGGACGATCGTTGGGGAGTTTGGGAGGCCTCTTTGGAGGTGTTGCGAGCGGAAGTATCTTTGCGGGTGTTTTGAACACATGATCAGGCCAAGAGCTGCGATGCTTCAGTGCACGCTGTTCGACTACACTTGGCTGGGGAGGAGGTGGATCCGTCGCACTATGTTGCCGGCTGGAATGTGAGAACTATGAGTAGATTGCTACGCAGGTTCAGGGCAGCTTCTCAACACGAGAGGCCATCCATCGAAACGCCTTGAGTCCGGTGTCTGCTTCCTTTGTTTCCCCCTTAGAAGCTGCATGTGAGCAGATGACGGGCTTGACATCCCAAAGGGTAGTTAAAAAAAGGGGGCCGCAATGTAGATACCAACATAGTCCTTATGGGGACCCCCAAAAAGGGAACCCCCCCATTTCTGCGAAACCCTAAACAGAGCCCTAAACCCCAAATAGTAGTTTCTATTTTCTTTTGCATTATCCCATTATAGCTACTATGATTTTTATTACTAATATTATCCAAAACCCTAATCTTAAACCCTAAACCTTAAACCCTAAACCCTAAATCTTGAACCCTAAACCCCAAAAGCCTCTCCTTGTTGCTTCCAGAGGAAGCCTTGGCCTTCCAGCTTGAGCAGCTGCAGGAGAAGTGACTCGGTGCCGTAATTCGCAGTGATGTTAGGGTTGCCCAAAAGGAGGGTACCTTTGAAGCGGATATAGGGGTTCTATAGGCCCCATACATATATATACATATATAGGGTTTAAGGTTTTGAGTCTCCCAAAATTAGGGATGTTAGATACTACCTTTAGGTCAGGTGAGCTATTCTTAATACTAGCCTGGATCAAGGGACCATTTAGGGTGGACGTGGGGGATTTGGGGTGGACGTGGGGGTTCCTTGTGTCGCTTAGTATAGTGCCTGACAAGGGACCCATGTCCATCAATTTTCTGGGGAAATACTGAGTGTAGCTGAGGCATGTACTTCGTACAGCAGAACCACGGTATGGAGTCCTTGCAATTAGATCATTCTGTTGAAGTTTGTCGTTTGTGCTTGACGCCTGTTTAAATATGTGCCGATAATTATATCTGCAAAGAATGGTCTAGCGCTCTGGTCAGCCGTGATTAACCTTGTTATCTGAAAACATCTTTCAGCGACACTTCTGCGTTGTGATGAGCAAGTGTGCGCAGCCCTCATTGCCACTAGTAGTGGTATTGCTGTTGTGATGATGGTACTGTTGATATGCATGCTTCCAGTCTGACTAGCTATGAAGGTTGTCCTGGCCGCGCCAAGCTGTCAACCTGAAGCCGCAGAGATCGCCAATGTGGGATCATCCCGAGGACCATGCATGTCGAGGTGTTTTAAAGGTGAGGCCCCTTCTTCATGACGCTGCTTAGCAAGATGACACCTTGTGGTAACATTTGGGGCCCAATTTGGCGCAAGCCTAGTGAGGTTGAGCAAAGCCAAGCCTGCCCGACTCTGAAAATCAAACGGGCGCGATGAAGCTTAAGACAAGCTGCGGAGACTGGCGGTTCAGAAGAAGTGGGGCGCGGGTTTGCGGCACAAAAGTTGACAGTAGCAGTAGCAGCCTAAGTGCTGCGGAGGCGGCAGCAAACAGCAGTGGCAGGGTCGCAAGGGTGTTGGCAGGAGGAGTAAGACATACTGTACTAGGAAAACAACTAGTAGCAGCGGCAGGAGGAGCTGTAGTCATTGTTTGCAGTCCTATGTATGTCAATATCAGTCATTGCTGTAGCAGTGGTGGTGCTTGTGTCATGGGTGCTGGTGGAGGTGGAGCAAGAAGTAGTAGTAGCAGCAGCAGCAGTAGTGGTGGTGGTGGTAGTAGTAGTAGTAGTAGTAGCAGCAGCAGCAGCAACAGCAAGCAGCAGCAGCAGGAGTAGTCGTCGTCATCATAGTAGCAGCCTCCCTAGCAGTAGTACTTGTCGTCGTATTCCTCCGATTCCTCCGCGGGAACTTGACACAGGCGCTGAGGTGAGTGAGGATGTTTGGCTGACTTGTCCGCTGCCGGAGGTCCTAGACAATGTCCTTATGCTGGGCACATTGAGGAGGGCTTGCTCCATTTGTGGTCAGAGGCTCATCAGTATGCAGCGCATCAAGACACACTGGCAGAAGTCCCACACAGTGGCCTGGAGGTGCGTACAGTCTGAGATTGAGGGAGCGATGGCCAGCCTGCAATCTACGCTCCGGAAGCCCTGTCAGTTCTGCGGGAGCGCAGCGGTGGACTCAGGAGCCCATAGCAGACAGTGTCCAACTTTGTTCCAGCTGCTGGCCACCAGGTCCCTGCATCATCGAGGGCAACTGCTGAAGGTCAGGGACCTTGCTACTAGCCCGTTCAAAAAGGCAGGACAAGAACAACCCTGCGTATGCCAATTGCAAGGTGGAAGAGTCGCCGATTGGGCGAGCGCTGGGAATATCGGGACGCACCAGTGCACTCAGGCGGGTTGCGCTGAATCCCGGTGGTGAGGTCACAGGGACCGAGCGGGGGACAGGCAGCGGGGGCAGCTCCGGGGCCGCTGGGACGGGCATATCATGGACACTCCGACTCGTTCTACACAATCCGGGCAACCAGTGTTATGCAAATGCCAGCATCCTTGCATTGTGTCATGCTTGTCTACTAGCCAGAACCACGCCTCCGCCGCTACGTCAGATGTTGGAGAAGCTCCGCTCACAGGCGCAGTTTGGACTGCGTACCACTCTCAGCACCACCCTCCAGCAGATCAGACAAATCTCAGGCCCCTGGGCATACAACGGCGAGCAACAAGATGCCTCGGAGTACATGGCGGTGGTCCTCGACTCAGCTGGTGCCTTTTCTCAGGTTTGGTGTAGTCGCTTCGAGGAGGATGGAATAGTTGCTGACACGGACCATGGCAAGGCAATACTGCTGGAGATGACAACTCGAGGAGCCGACCTGCAGGCTCTGATTGATGAATGGCAGCACCAGGCGCACGTGCATGCGTTGAGCTTGCAACACCCAGTGGTTCCTGTGCAGATTGGGAGACACAGTGGAGGACGGAAGAATCAGGCGAGGCTCTCATTCGCTGAGGATGTTGCGCTGCCGGTGTTCTCCAATGCAACTTGTTGTCTGCGCACGATCTACAGGCCGGTGGCCGCCGTGGTGCATCTGGGTCATGAGTGTCGATCTGGGCACTACCGCAGCATCCTCAGATGGGGTTCCCAATGGTTTTACACGGGCGATGGGTGCCGAGCAGTTTCATGCGGCATGGCCAGCGAACATTTGTGTAATGTCTGCTACATTTGGCTAGCGCGCCCCAGCCTCCTGCCGGACACGGGAAACAATAGGTGCTGATGATGGAGGCGGATCCATGCCGGTGGACCAAACAGGCCAACCAGCCGCGCCGAGGAAGGCCGATGACTCACAGTCTGCCGATGCTTCCGCTGGGGATGACGAACGTGGAGGCAAGTGGGCCAAGGACAACCAGAAAGGCAAGGGCAGAACGCAGTATGGAGACAAAAAGGACCAGTGGTCTTTGGAAGGTGGCAATGGCAGAGGCAGTGGCGCAGGCCGGAGGGCCAACTCGGACAAGGGCCACGAATCCAAGTGGTGTGGCAGCCAATGGCGAGAGAGCAACACGGAGTCACTCAAGCGCCAACTGGCCTCGGTGCAAAGACTTCTTATGCGACATGAGGATGCACTGAATATCCTGAAGGCTGAGCACTCGTATGTGCTGCACATGAGGCTTAACATCCCCTCTTCGATTGCGCCGAGCCTTTCACGTGCACGAGCAGGCTGGCACGAGCTGAGAAAGGATAAGCCACAGGAGGTGACTCGCCCGATGAGAGTCACTTTGTGGACATGCGTGCTGCAGGAGTGGCTTGCCAGGACAGTGGCCTTGCCGTCGGTTCCGGAAACCATGGCTGGGCTTGAGAAACTGGGATGGTACGACGCGGCAAAGAATGAGTTCCCGTACCTGCAATGGCGTGCAGACTCTCAGCAGCTGGTTCCTGACGCCCTCAAACCACCTCTTCAGTACGATCAATGCAAGAGCATGCTTCAGGAGCTGATAAGGGTGAGCGTCGGGGCGGGCGTCGTAGCCCGATTTTTCCCAACAAGGCCCTTGGCGGCTGAAATGAAGGGAGAGAGCGTGACTTTTCTCCTGCAGCTGTGCATGAGAGGCGTGGATGCTGACAAGGCGCGCGAGGTGCTGGACACATTCTGTGGGTCAGCCTGCAGTCTTCTCGTGGATGAGGTCAAGCATGACCGCGGCACCCGCAGTGGGCTGGCGCAAGCAATCTCAAAAGAGATCCCGTCATGAAGTGCGGCTGCCGTTTTCTTAATCAGAGTTTTGCTGGGCGATGCCCTGGATGCTGCTCCGATGCGAGCGAGTGCATGCGTTTCTAGCTGGAGATGTGAGGCTTGCGTAGTACCTGCTCCGATGCGAGCGCGTATTGCTTCAGACCGGACCCTGGCTGGACGAATCTGACTCCGCTGCTTCACTCTACAGTCCTCAGCAGTGCAAATCAAGCGCAGGGTGCAGGCAAGTGACTGCTATTGGCCTGGGTTTGATTATCTGCTCTGAAGCGCCTAGGTCTCTGAGCTCTGCTGCATCTTCGTGTGCCTGGCTACGGGAAGCAGTACATCGGGCGCGTTTTTGTACTCGTGTAGTGCAGCACACCTACTCCGCGCTTGTGCTCTTGCTGGGACGTAGATTTTTGCCTCAAGACAGAGCAAAACCTATGGTGCATGCGCAAAGGGAGCAGATACTTCGCCTTCTCCCCCACATGGAGAGACCTCCGGAGGCCACAGAAGAGGAGTGGTGGGAGCTTCTGCTTTTGGAGGCTCCTTCCATACTTGAACTTGCGTTACCTGGGGCTGAAGCTCTTGCTGAGTCTGAGGAGACATTCCCTTCACATATCTCGGAGGAGAATGAGACTGACGAGATGACAAAAGATGCCTTGGGGGACAGCCTCGCTGGCTACTCGCCCTCTTGGCAGGGGTTCCTGCGCCAAGGCGTGGCTTCAACCTTCATGTTTCTGGAGAGGCGGTGCTGGACGGGGTGGATCCTGTTCATCCGAGCGAGGCTCTTGCCGCAAGTGCTCTGAGAGAGGGTTGGCTCTGGGAGGAGGATTTTCTACAAATCGCTGAACATTTGCCGTCTAGCACGCGGAACTTTCAGCAGCCCATACAGGGCGACGCCTGGTCGTGCTCCTTTATTACGGGAGCTTTTATCCATGGTGCTTCAGCTGGAGTTATGTGCAATACTCGGCAATTTCCTATGGTCACCTCCCTGGTCACGTCAGTGCTTAATAGCGTTGCTCCTGGTATGTGGTTTTCATCTGCAGGTATCTCCTTGAACATGCGGTCGGGAGTTCATAGGGGTTCGAACAATGACGCGAACATCCCCAATATCCTGGTACCTGCCTCGGACTTTGAGCATGGCGAGCTGTGGATAGAGGATGGCACTGGAGATCAGCTGGTGTCTGGATACTCGGGCAGGCTCATTCCAGTTTCTAGGCCTTACATTTCTTTCAACCCACGTGTACGGCATGCCACCAATGCCTGGGTAGGAACTCGCCTAATTATTGTCGGGTACCACGTAAGAAATTCTGAGCTGATGAGTGCCTCGGATCGCCAAGAGCTCTGCAGAATGGGTCTTCAGGTTCGTGCCACTCGCTGAGCAGCAGCGGAACATCTGGAGCGAGCGTGATGAGTTGGTGCTTGGGTTCTACTCCACCAGAGCTCACCAATCAGTATGCCAGGCCCTTCCACACCGTGAATGGGAACAGCAGCAGTGATTGCTCGGCAAGACATGTACAGATTTGAGTTATGACCACTTGATCATGGAAGAGTCGCATGTCGGAGTTTGCATTATGAACTAAAGTTTTCTGCCTGTATAGTTATTTGTTTTTCGCAGCTGCAGGGGCTCAGGCCCGGGTTGCGTTGTGAGTGCAGGCCACAAGTGGCGGCTCACTCGCCTCATGACTAAGTCATTTTTGAGGCTCGCTAGGTTGCACCGAAGCAATCGCGCATCGAAGAAGAAGTGGTAGTAGTAGTAGTAGTAGTAGGAGTAGGAGTACAAGAAGTAGAAGTAGACGTAGAAGTAGAAGTCGTAGAAGTGATAGTAGCTGTGGTAGCAGTACTTCTCGCAGGCAGCATCAGATCCTGGGCTGAAGTTGGGACGTGACATGCAGCGTCAAGCCGCGTGCAGGAGCTGGAGCTGCAGAAGCAGTACACATTCCGGGATGTCTTTCCCTGGGCAGACCTTCAGATTTGGACAAGTAAAGCTCGCGCTTCTTTCTGAGGTGGCTCTTGCAAGACAGAGATCAGGCGTAGACGACACCGAAGGCACTCTTAGAGCTGAAGTTTTTGCTGGCGGGTGCCAGAAAAATGTGCATTTGCAATTCATCGCCGTGCAGGTCAGGCGCTAACAACTGCACAGTTGGAGGCCTACCGGGATCGTGGCTTCTTGCGGCGGTCTCGGATGCCCAGCTGCTTGTATCTTGAGCCTTTATCTTAGATGGCGCATTGCATCCTTAGATTTCATTTTGGATAGCTTTTGCATGTTAATGTGCAGCCACAAATAGAAACACGCTCGGCCCAGACGTGCCATTAGGGGCCTAGGGCCGCCTCGAAACCCAAGATTTATGGCAGGAGCCCGGATCCCGAACAAACGACAGGCAAAACTTTAAAGGGATCGTCGTGACTGAACATGTCAATACAAATCCAATTGACACCTTGGATCCAAGACTTAGCTAGGTTGGGCTTGCCGATCCTTGATGGAGACGACCTGGCAAGCGCGCAAGAGCAGTTTGATGAGATGGTGGCTGAGCGAACTGATGCTCTGCCGCACCTAAAATCGTCTTTTCCATCCCACAATGCTGAGCATGAGCACGTGGCCTCTGGTGCTGCTTAGTCGTGACAGTCACGGCAAGCAGCAGTGCAGTTTACCATTCCGGGGTCATTCAGAGTAGAGTCGTTGTTTGAAATTGCTGTCTATTGCCACCTCCCAGCGTTGGTGTGTAGGCCCTTCTGAACCCAAGGACCGGGCTCCAGCCGAGTGCTCAGACAAGTCTGAATTGACACCGCATTAGTTTGCTGCCTGGTATGTACTGTACTCATTGTGAGTGCAGGATGTGTGCAGAGCAGTTGTTTCACGTGTAGATTGGGAATGCGCTGAGATCGCATTTCGACCTCCCGAAGTGATCTTGGCACCTCCAGATGCGCTCCTCTGGTATCTGAGGATGCTGAGTCCCGATTTCGAGCAGCGCATACTCTTGGCCGTCCTCTACACCAGGCGATCTCGTGTTCAATGAGTGCAGCAAGATTTTTCGCTGTGTGCAGTACCACTGCCAGGTGGAAGACGGTTATCGGTCTACAATGCAGTAAGCCTTTGTGTTGTTGTGCACGCTTTGATTTCCTCTACGCTTGAGTTGTGACTCGCAGGCCTGTAAAACATGCCGACAGCGAAACCAAAAACCGCATTTGTGCGTTGAAAAACATTAGACAAAGACAGCGGGAGTGATGCACATTGAGTTGCGTGTAGCCAACAAATCATTCAATGCACCTCGTATCTGTTTTGACTTGTCCAGCCCAGATATCGCCAGATATATGCGCACGGAACTCCCAAAGTCATGGCATGTTGGGGAATGTTCTTGCCATGATGTGGCTGCGCAAATAGAAGTGATTGGGAACTATGCTGTGGCTGTTGATGAGCTTATGCCTTAATTGTGTGCGCAGCAGACAGCATGAAGTGTTGTTGAGGAAGCCTTTCCTGAGCCCGTAATGCCCGCTGTGCAGGATATGCAATTCAGATAGAGTTGGGCTGGTTTCTGTGGTGTGTCTTTGTTTCGGCGATTCCCATTTCTACGACAGTTACGCTTGACAGACGCTTAGGCTTTGACAAGTTGCCGTTCCCTTGCTTAGCGAGACACTTGCAACTGGCTGCTGCCAGCTTCCTGTTGGGTCCTATTCACTTGTCCGCAGCATGCATGGGCCGCTTTTAGTTATAAGCCAGTTGCATCTTGCTTTGTAGGGTCTCATCTTCATTTGGCGCTGCTTTATGCTGGGCTGACTGGACTTCTCTGAGCCAGAGTGGAGTCAGCGTGAGCAGCCTGGACAACGTCCAGTGTCAGCTGAGGGCGCATCCCAGCTTTTCAAGCGGTGGGGTAGTTGTGCAATTACTGTCAACCCTCTACTGACGCATATGATACTGCAGCGAGACCCAGCACGTCAGCACAAGTGTTTCCAGCGTGAGCAGCAAATTGCAACAGTTTTTTTTGCAGGCTTTGGTGCAGAGGATGGCGAATGATCCCAAGGTTCTGGCAATCGTCCAGGCCTGTATGCAGAAGCAAGTGCAGCCTTGCCAGACCTGTATGAGCCGTCCAAATGTTTTTAGATGTGCATTGTTGGCGCAGGACATTCTTGGGTGCAGCCGCCATGTGCAAAGTGAGAGATACTGCAATCTGAATGGCCATTGAAGAATTAGAAGAACCTGCCAGGCCTCAATTCTGCTGCTGGAGTGCTCACCTCTTCTGCAAGTTACCGGGCGATCCCACTTCTCAGCCATGGCATCAGGCTATTTCCCGTAGCCCATACCACCAAGACAGTGGCCAGATTTGTCAGGATGCCGGCTTTTGGCCCTTATCTGAGTTGGGAGCCCAAATCCTTGTCTACTTCCAGGTATCAGGTCTAACAAATGGAATACTTCGTTGTGTTTGATTTGGCAGGTCACGGGCCATTACCTTGTGGCTCGCTTTTGATGATGTGGATGAGTCCAATGCGGCTGTGCATTTCATCGAGGGAAGTCATCGTGCCAGCCTCAGGGCAAGACAAAGAACGAGAAAACTCATATTAGCACGTGGTAGCTCGATATAGCAACATCAGTATTAGTAGGACATCAAAGGTAATTTGGTCGCTAACGGGAGACCGCCTCTGCAAGTGTGGTTAAGGTGAGAGATGGCTTTCACCTTTTCCACCCCGCCCCCTCCCCAACCCCCCGAACCCCCCGTCCCCCCAGGCCAGCCGATCCGAAGCCCAGGCGACCAGCTAAACCCCCTTGCCCCCCTAGAAACACAAAAAAGCATCAGAATCGTGCGTAGGGGGAGGGTTAAGTTAGTCTCTAGACTTTGGCCCTGGATCTAAACGCTCCAGGCCGCTGGCCTCCGCGGATTTATTGAAAGGGATGATGTGAGCATTTTCACTTGACTATGTTTGCAGTCCTGTCCGAGTTTCGCATGCGGCTGCTCGCCTCACGCTTTCTCTAAGGATATGGGCGCTTGCCATGGAAAGAGACAAGCGCCTCCCATCACCTACTGACACAGGAGAACAAAGCTGAATCTGTTTGTGAGCTTCATGCCTTGCCATCGCTCTTTTCGGCAACGTGTGTGCGGCTCTTGCTTGAATGGAAGAGACAGGAGATTCCAGACGTAGATCTCATGGGAGTTGCAGCATGCTCCTCGAAATAGCACAACAGCTGCAAAGCATCTTAGACAGTTCTATGGATCGAGTGCTTGGGTGAGGTCCCACAGAGGCTGCGAGCTGGGGAAGCGTCGCTACACAGCGTACTGGGCTCATGAGTGACAGCGAGGGAGGTCCATTGGGGGTCTCAAGATTCACGACAAAAATGTGGGTCCGATTCAAGGTCCATAAGCTGAGAATTTAAACACTGGATGACTTGATGTACCATTTTGTGAATCCTGTGGGAGCCGCAATCGCAACGCATACCACATGAGTCAGGTGTCGGATTGCATTACAATTGCTGTCCATGCTTGTTGCACACGTAACTTGACTAGCTCCAGGCAAGCTTGCGCCTTGCTGACTGTACTCAGGACTTAACGGTTCATGGCAGCCTGGGCAACGACAGTGAACGACGGAGAGCAGGGTGGGAACCTCATACTCTGAGGTGATTGGACTGAAGTCTGGATTTGGAGAGAGGATCCCTAGACCGAGGTCCCTCTTCTATATGCAGTGCAGTCTTGCTGAGGTTGGCTCTACGTTTTGTTGGCTGCGATGCCACCTGCCTGGGTGCCATGCTGAACGGTCGGCACCCCATGCCGCACCGAAAGTCCTGTGATGAGGTTTGCTCCCGAGGGCGAATCTGAAGGGTCCGCATGGACGCGAAAGCATTGAACTTGTGTTCACGAGGCTTTCAGGGCTTTCTCGGGTGTATCCACAAGTGCGTTCTCATTAGAAGCGCTGTCCCTCTTGGAAAGGCTCCAGATTCGTGGTCTTGTCACACGGGGGGGGGTCCAGTCGGTGTCACGATCTTCATAACTCTAGGGTCGTGTCTTCATGTCTTTGTGCCGTGTCTTCCTGTCATTTCTGCTGGACCTTGTATCATATTGTGCTTTCTTGCCTTAAGGTCCTCATGTTGAGTCTGCGAGGGGTTTCTCCTTCTTGGTATTGTTGCCAATTGTCGTATCTTGCCTTGTTGTTATGTCTTTGTTGTGGCTTATGTCGTATCTCATTTCATGTCCTGGTAACCTTTTCTCATGCCATGTCTTTGTGCCATGTCTTTTTGTTGGAGTGTGCATTCGGGTAGAAACGGCCGTCTTGAAGGGGCTGTTTAGTTGCTGCTTGCTTGTGCCGTAAGCATGCGGCCAAGGCTACAAGATGAACAGCGCGTGCATCCTGCCTAGAGGCAAGCACTCAGATCCGCGGGGCCATTGGAAGTCCTTGAAGAAAAGGCCAGCTCAAGGACAGACATGACATCTGTAGATGCCTCAGCGTACTGCAACGCGACTGCAGGTCAGGCAACGAGCGTCGCAGGCCTGACTAAAACAGCCGAGATGTTGTAGGGAGCTTGCGCACACATCGCACACGCTTCCAGGCGTCCACTTCAGTTGGGGGCTCAGGAGAGCGAAGAGCTTGACGCCTCTCTACCGCCTTAACTTGCCAAGGTCAGTTGATCCATGCTCGCCGCACGGCCCTCGCTGCAGAATCATCTGCTGACGCGCTTTTGCCGTCATCTAGATGGAAAAGTTTGCTCATTGCAGTGCTGCTTCAAGGTGTGCGAGTAGGCAGAAGAAGCTTTCTGAAAGTTTGCTTGGCATACTTGAGGGCCACGCAGCTTAAAGGCTGCTGCGCGAACCTGTAACAGGCAGGAAGACTGAGGGTCTTCTGGTCGACGGATGTCGACGGTAGTCGCATGAATGTTGCAGCAGCAAGGGGTCGGCTGCGTGAGAATCTTCTCACCATCTTCGCGGATGGCGGGGATTGGTGTATGCCATCAATCTCGGACATTCCCTTTCGTCGCATGCTCCCGCAACATGCCGATGGATCAGGGTGGGGCACGATCTGCAGCAGCAGACATACCGCCCACACAACAACCTCGAGGGGGTTCCAGTACCCTTTGCCGGCAGCTCGCGCACGCCGACATTGCCCGGCGGATCGCAGCCGCTCCCGCTCGGCGCCAGCAACATATAGTCCCCCTATGTCCCCCTTAAGTAGAATATGGGGTATATGGGGATCTTATTATAATATACCCAAAACCATATTCTATCTACTTAAGGGGGACTATAATCAACAAGCAGTCCATGCGCCATGCCGCCGGGCCAGCCGAGCCGCATGTGGATTTGGCTCGCATGAGCAGTGGGCCGTGACATGCCGTTAATGACATCCGATAGCAGTTTGCTCAGGCACATATGAAGGACTGAGCCTGACTTTCTAGGTTGTTGAAGCCGCTTGGCTCGAGTGTCCTGACAATCAAGAAGACATCAACCGAACTGATCCAACCATCGCAAAGATATGATGAAAGTAGCGCTTGCTGGTAAGAACGCGGAAATCAGGACAGGACATGAAATGCGGCAAAGAGAAATGCTCTTGCAAGAACATCCCTAGCCAGGTCAGCTGTGTAGCATTTCCGCAGGAGACATGTGGCTCTTAGTTAAGGAGCCCTCTTGTGCCATGTGGGCGAATTTGCTCTCGCTTGTGCTTCTTTCGCATGCAGTCTCTGCGTGGTCAGCGCCAAGCTGCACCGCGTTCAAGCGAGAAGACGGGGATGCTTTCAACTGTAAAGGGCAAGTGACGGCTGCGGAGGCGGCAAAGTTCAGCATGCGGCTCTCGAACGCTTCATGGGTGAGGCACTTTCAGCTCTTTACCAACGTCACGGCAAGCGTGCCAGACTCCGGAGGAAGCAGAGCCTGTGAGCAAATTACACATCTGGATGCAGGGATGCACTATGTGAACCATGTGGTGCCAATCAACGATGAAAATTTTGCCAAGGAAGAGCAGACCTGCTTGAAAACGGTAAAGACGAACAGGTTCTTCTGCATCCGAGGCACTGGACATGAGCGAGGCGCACTCGTTTCAGTCGGGATTCAAGCCAGCGTGAATGCCCAACTACAGGTCCGTGTTGCAACTCAGGAAACCCTTGACGACAGGCTTAGACGATTTTCCTTGGACGTTGGTGGCAGCAATGGCCGTGCTGCCTTTCACATGTTTACAATGCCGGAAGACCCGGGGCTGGACTTGTGGCGCTTGAGCCTCAATGTGCCGGACCACTTCCAGAGAGCAGGCGTTGGTTATCATGCGTACATCATGCATGAGTCGTCACCATGTATAGCCAAAGTGATTCAGGAAGGGGGTTGCCTGGACCCTCTCCAGGTCTGGTCGTGTTTCCAGTCCGTGCCTGTGTCATTTAGGCCCCCCAGTCCAACTGGAAACATGCAGATTGCATTAAGTGAAAGCTTCACTAAGTCTGGCATGATGACGATCAGCAGAGGCTCTGTACCGGGCATTCAATCAGGCAGATGGCTGCTCTTTGTGGTCTGCAATTTGAGGTATCTGAGAACTACTTCGAACCCAGCATGCCCGGAAGCGCATCTGGAGGTTGAGCTTCACTCGGAGTATGACCAGCTGCAAAAACTCCGGACTGGCACTGCCATCATGATATTTGGACCTGCTCTGGTTCTTTTTTGTGTCAATGCGCTGTACTGGCTGACCTACAAGTTTCTGAACTATGTGAACCCGCAAGCCCCGTCACAGTCTCGGCACAGTTTATGGCCAGTCTTTATGTCTATGCCCAATCACGAGCACTTGGCAATGCTCAGGGAGAAGATGACGCTCATCTACGAGCCTGTGCCTTTCTTCCCAGCGCTGCTAGCTTTGATGATTGGCGTGTTCTTGGCGACAGCTGCCCAGTTCGTCATCACACATTTTGGATTGATGGCACGGACGGGGAACAGAGATATTTGCTTCTACAATGAGAGGTGCTACCATCCAGGCATCGTGTGGGACGTACCCTGGAACCATATCTTGTCCAATCTTGCATACTTCGTGGCTGGTGTGCATACGATGCTGCAGACTTTCTTTGCAGAGAGCCGGTGCCGACACTTCATGCACAAGACCATGGCGGCCTTGTTCAGAAGCGTAAATTTGGACCCATGTGGCAGCCTCACCAAGAAAGAATGGGCTGCAATCTTTGATGATGCCGACGTCAACAGGAATGGGGTTGTGTCCAGACAAGAATGGCAGGAGCGGCACAGGGACGTGATTGCATTTGACTTCATTGACGAGACAGATGCTGGCAGTCTCTCTCGCGAGGAGTGGTTCGCTGCTTTCGCAAGGCTGGATGCCAATGGCGATGGTGTGCTCACTAAGGCCAAGTTTCAGTTGGCATCGCGGGCAATCGATGTTCGGGCGTTCTACGCGATTGCTACGACTTTCATCGCCGAAGGTGTAGGAAGCATGTGTTACCACCTTTGTCCATCCGTGGAAACATTTCAGTTCGACACTTGCTTCATGATCTCCATTGCGCACTTGCTCACGATTGCTCTTGCCGATTGGGGGGAGCCAGACTTCGACATGACAGCAGCCCTGAAATACTTTGTTTACATCCTAACCCCAATATGGTTGATCAACTTCATCGGCACGTGGTACGACATCCACGTCTTTAATTGCACCTGGATCTACTGGACGTATACTTCCTTGGTGGTGATGTGGACTGTTGGCGCCGTCACTAGCCTGAGGCGAGTGTTTGCAGGGCCTGATATGGGGACCTGCAGCATGTGGACGATGAGGCTTTTGCAAGGCCTGATTGTTCTTGTGGTATGTCTGGTCTATGTAGACCCCAATGCACGAGAGAGCCTCGGGGGAACGGCAAACACCTTCCTGCTACTCTCCATAGCGGTGATGGCAGTTGTGGTGAGCCGACAGATTTACATGCAGGACTTTAGGTTCATGGCTTGCGGCGTGCTAGACATTGGCGGGCGCATTCTCAAATACAGCTTCTCGGTGAAATTTCGAGTCTGTTGTAATGTTTCATGTATCGCCTGTACAGGATTATCGTGAGATACTGGCTTTTTGGGGCGGATGCCCTGAAGCCAAGGCTATCTGATAGTCATGATCGCCGTTGGCTTGGCATCCCTCCAGTGCTTCAATGAGAAGGTAGTTATTGTCACTCCGGAAGCAACGCCAGCACAGAGCCATGATGCAAATCAAGCCGCTCGGACAGTTGAGACACGACTTCTGACTTCAAGTCAAGGCCACACTCCGTACTATCACGGGTGCACTTGTAAGTGCATCTTCCTCGCACGGTCATTGTGTGGTGCAGTCTCGCAGGTGGTTGCACAGGCGGATCAAGCTTAGCAGTTAAGGTTTGTGGGCAGGATATTTCTTGTACTTTCCATGGTGGCAGTTCTCTGCTCGTTATGGGCGTATTTCTCTGAAGTGCAATCCGAAATAGAAAGCACATGCCAGATTGCATCATGGGAACCCCATGCGTGTTAGTATTGAAAGGGCTTTGTGCTCGTTCGAGCGAGAAATGCGCGATCAAACCCAGGACTGTGTTTTCAGCATCTTCGACTTGCATGACTGCTGGCATCTCCTCTCGGCAGTGGCATTGGCGCTCTTTACCATGTTCTTGCTGGACATACGTGTGAACTCTTGGGCCCGCAAGGCTGGAATCCAAGTCATCGCCGAGCTGCCCGCAGACCGCTATATGCCAGTGTCTGACTTGGATACCTCTGTAGATGAGTTGCGGGACCTGAAAGTTCGCATCACTCGCACAACATCAACAACCAGCTGCAACAGTGACCTTGAAGCCGCGAGTTTCTCTGAAGGGATGCTGAAGCCGTGAATTTTTCGGCGGCTCGCGCTTGTGAGTTACAGCCGCCTTGCATGGTACATACAGGAAGGCAAAAGACCTTCAGCCCATGATTTTGGAGCAGCATCGGCTAACTGTCGGTGCCTCGCCTTTCATGTGCTGTGGCTCGAAGTGGCACTACAGCGCTTTAAGCCGCCGGCTTGGACTTCTGGGCTTGTGCAGCTTGCCTGAAGATTGTTCAGATGTCCGGAATGTTGCCAGCTGGAATGCAGACCGCGGCAATTTACCCTCCGCGTGAGGCCAATGCATGGCAAAATTGGAGCTTATTTCGAGGGTTTTTGAAGCAACCATGTTTGCTGGATGCCAGTGCGAAGCGCTGTGATCAGAAGCTCAAAGCTTGAGCTAGGCAGCTTGATATTCATTAGTCTTCTTCGACCTGATCTCAGTGCGCAGTCCTGCTTGAATGTATTGCGCCGTCCAGCGAAGGGTTTCGCTTACCGTAGACATTTATTTCGAGAGCTTTCCTGAGCGTCCCGCGGCGAAATGCAAATCCTCGAATCCACAAATCGCAAGCAGTGTCCCCCAAAGATTTTTTTTGAAAATCATCTCCCCAAATCTCAAATGGCAAGGGGTGTCCCCCTAAGATTTTTCAGAGAATCAAGTCCCCAAATCTCAACTCACAAGGTGTGTCCCCCAAAGATTTTTTCCAGAATCATTTCCCCAAATCTCAAATGGCGAGGGGTGCCCCCATGAGATTTTTCAGAGAATCAAGTCCCCAAATCTCAAATCGCAAGGGGTGTCCCCCTAAGATTTTTTTTCGAAAATCATCTCCCCAAATCTCACATGGCAAGGGGAGTCCCCCTAAGATTTTTCAGAGAATCAAGTCCCCACTTTGGCTGTCTGCGCGGTTGCTCAGCGGAGCGCATAGACCCGGGACGGAGAAGTGCAGAATTTATATATTGGTCGTATCTATCTACGGGGATCGGTGTGTTCCCCCGAATCGTTGCGTAGATAGCCCAAGAGAGATAAATGAGGCGGAAAGACCGGACCGGACGCGGGGGCGCGACCCGAAATCTCCCGAGATTTCGAACTATTTCTCTCTCTTCCGCTGTCTGCGGGTCGGTTCGGTGTAGACCCGGGGCGGAAATTGAAATCTTTCAGAATCTATTAGGTTGGTCGTTTTTGGTCACGTGCGGTCTTATATGTTGATTGTTCGTCGGGATTCACGTGCGATCTTATAATATATTCTGCGTGATTTATCTCTCTTTGGTTGTCGGCGCGGCTGGTCGGAGGAGCGCGTAGACCCGGGACGGAATAGCAAAATTTTTCAGAATTTATAGGTTGGCCGTATCTATTTACGGAGATTTATGGGTTCTCGCAAGCTGCCGCGTAGATAGCCTAGGAGAGATAAATGAGGCCAAAAAATTGGGCTGGATGCGGGAGGGCCGCGTGATTAACAATTTCTGAAGATTTCGAGCTAAGCTATATCTCTCTCTTTGGCTGTCTGATTGCGCGGCGGCTCGGTGGAACGTGAAGACCAGGGCGAAGACCGGGGCGGCGGTCTTAAAATACTGATTATTCATCGGGATTCACGTGCGATTTTGCATATTGATTGGTCGCCGGATTTCTCATTAAAGATTTTCTTAAATGAATATATTTTGCTGCTCGAGGCAGCGGGCCTACTCTAAAATCATAAATAATGAGAAGATTTCGATATATTCGATTCTATCAATTAGAAGATGAAAATTAATGGATTTTTCGGAGATTTCTTATAATATTTTTATATTGATTAATTTTTATCTCTACTGATTCTATTATATTATATATGCGTAAATTATTTCGATATTTTTTATTACCTATATTTGAAAATGAACTACGAATTTCGAAATTTTTATTAATATTTGATAGAACTTATTTCTTTGCAATCTTTATCATTTGGATTTGAAGATTTGGAAATTTGAATTCTTTTAATCATTTCATTTTAATTATCAAAATTATTCTATATTTGAGATTTGGGATCGTTATTATTTATATCGAATTATTTAAAAATATTATTTTTTTCTCTAGCTCGATTATATTTAGAATCAATTTAAAAAATCATTCTAATTATTCGATTATTTAGCTATATATACGATTTTTTCAATATTTATAGATATCTATTCAAAAATAATAGAAAGATAGATATAGAGATTAATATAGAGATAGATATAGAAAACATGAAAGATATATCGAAAGATAAAAGATAAAGATAGATAGAATTAATTTGAAATAGAGGGAGAGATAAATAATTAGATATATAGAGGATTCTAAATGATGATAGAAAGATAGATATAATTCGAGATAGCTAGAGATAGATAAAGATAGGGATAAATAGAAATAGATATAGATAGAGATAAAGAGGAATAGATAGAGATAGATATAAAGATAGAGAGAGAAAATCCCCTTCCCCATTACTTCTAAGAAACGGGAAACCCCGGGAACGTGGTAAATCGAATGAATTCATTAGAAAAATAGCCCTGGGAAACCTCATTTTATAGAGAATAGGGTTCGGAGGGGTCGGGCACCTCATTTTGAAAGCCTTCTGGGGGTCGACCCCCTATTTTGCAATAACCTGCGCGGGGTCGGGGTCCCCCATTTTGCAGACTTTCCAGGGCGGGTAGCCCTATTTTACAATAACCTATGGGGAGATCGGGGTCCCCCATTCTACAGGTCTTCTAGGGGCGGGTACGCCCATTTTTTAATGACTATTATCTTATATTATTCTCAATCTCATTATTTATAATTTTCGTAAATAATTCAAATCTTTTGATATTTGGTTCGCAAATCCTCTGAGCTCTAATCCTTTTTATATCGCAAGATTTGGACATAAGTGACGGTGGTGCCAGTTGAATCATAGTCTAAATTCCTTAAAGGATTATATGGGGGATTCTATAAGGGAGTAATTAGTCGGTTATATAGGAGATTCTATAATGGTAGAGGGGGAATTAAATAGGAGATTCGGAGATTATAGTATAATTCCCATAGGGATTATATAGGAATATGTAGGAAGCTATAATATAGCCCAATCGCGAATCCCCCAAAGTCTTTCAAATCCTGGATAACCTCATTTTATAGAGCGAAATCTCTATAAAATGCGGGCACCCAGGGATCACCGTAAATATTAAGAAGGGATTCAATTCCCAAAGGTTCTCTAAAAAAATGACCCTGGGCCCCTCATTTTGCAGAGATTTCGTACTTCATATTAAACCCCAATTACCACCGTTTTAATCAATAAAATGGGGGGTCCCAGGGTCGACCCTGAATACGAAGGAAAATGAGAGAAATAGAGAATAGATAGATGAATGCAGATAGAAAGAATATAATTCGATAGATAGAGAGATAGTCATATCAAATCAATTGAGATCATATTATGAAAAAAAGAGATTAATATGATGATTTCTATAGATAATACGATTTAAAAAATAAGAATTACCAAAATTTAGAATATTCTAAATTTATTTGACGGAGATTTTATCAAATTAATGATTTGGTGCCCTAGAAGAAATTTAGAAATAGAGATAATTGATCAATCAAGATTTGCGTTAAGATTAAGATTTAATTTGATCCGGATCTTTTAATAAAAATAATAAAATTAATATCGATGATTAGATTCTTTAAATATATATATATAAAATCGATATCGATAATTAATCAGATAAATAGATATAGATAGAGATGAATAATATATATATATAGATAGAATCATCTAGATTCAAATAGAAATAATCTGAAATATAAACGATAGAATATTTAGATTCGACGATCATTTCAATTTTATAATTTGCGAGAATATTCAATCTAATATCTTCATCTAGATAGATTGATTTGGAATCAATTCATAAATATATCCTATATGATATTTTCTGATATTTCGATTTCATCATTTAGAAAATGATTCATTTATATTTCATATTTCTCAAATATGATCATAATTATCCTAGATTATATATATTTTATCTATTTATCGGATTGCCCGTTATAGAAAGATGATCTTGAAATGATCAATCTAGAGATTCTCTTTTTCGCTGCTGAAGAGATATAGAAATGAGAAAAATGATATATCTAGAATTAATTATCGGAATATCTCTATAGCAGATTCCGGACCAATCTCATTAAATCCTAGAATTCTCGAAAATTTAGAGGCGGACGAAATATCGAAAATTTCGTGAATCTTGGAGGGACGGGGGATGGATGAGAAATTGATGAAATATTAAAGATATCGAAGAATTTGGATTTTCGTCTAGGACGAAATTCAGAAGTTCCGGCAAATTTCAATATTTCCGCGAAGATATTCTTTAATATTTATAATATTAGAAGAGATGATTTAGATCAGATAGATCCCTTCATCTAATCGAATATCTTCGAGAAAATTATAGATATTTTCTTTCGATAATGAGAAATCGAAATTCTAGCATATTCCTTCTTATTTTGATAATCAATCAATCTGATTCATTATCTCATGCTATTATAGGATATCCATATTCGACGAGATAATCGATATATAGAGATAGAGCTCCGTATAAATTTCTTTGATTGGGATCAGAAAATTGAAAATTAATATCCTAATCAAAAAAATATATATATAAAATCGAAGGAATATTATCTAAGATCTCGAAAAATATCATCTAAAAAATCCAATCTTTGAATTATTATTTCAAATAAGAGATGATACGCTGCCGGAATCTTATTTAGATTCCGACCAATTATTGAATAGATTATCAGAAATATTCAAGAAATGAACCACAATTCCGATTGAAACGCTGAATAATATATCGAATAAGATTTCAATCATAATCCTGATCAAAATATTATGCGAACTAAATTTCGTTATCTCCGCTCCATCCCATTGCCCCAATCACCTCCAAGATCCGACAATTAGATATATCAATAAGAATATAGATTTAGAAGACGATCATCTAGACCATTTTCCGAGAATGAACATATTTTATCGATAATTAGAGAAGAGAAGAATAAGATATAATTATAATTCAAAG